GTGTGCGTGGCTCAGTCCCAGGCTCTGCAGCGCCTGTCCCTGCCCCACCCCTCCCTCACGGTGACTGGCCTACAGGAGCGGGGCTATGGGGGAGGGGGCTGCAGCCACTCCAGAAGGACAGGGAGGTGCTGCAGTGTGCTGTGTGGGGCCAATGGCACTTGACATGCCCCTTCCTTTTCCCTGGGTAAGAGGTGAATGCACCAGGGGAGATGCTGCCGCCATGTCCTGGGGCGTGCTTTGTTCTTGCCCATTGGCACACCCACCCGTGCATACCCCTAAAGACCTTTCTCAGTACCCCTGGGGGTATGTGTACACCCGGTTCACAACCCCTGCTCTAAGGAGACCTGCAGGAGCTCCTTTCCTTAGAGAGGAGTCTCTAAAGAGCTCACTCCGGGAGCTTAGCTTCCCACAGTGAAGCATCAGGCTGTAAATGAAAAGACTCTTGTTGGGTTTCTGCTGCCATTTACTTTGATGTAGGACCAATTTTTTGGGGGGTGGGGGGGAAGGGAGGGCAGAGGCAGGGTTGATATCTGAGGAGTCCCAGTGAAGCAGACTACTAAAAGTTGGTTCAGGCTTGATGAGTTTATGCATTTGTTTCTAATGGGGATGGAGGATGTCCCTGTCCTGCCCTCCTCTGCCAGAGTGTCTGATGAATTCTTGAATGCTGTAACAAGTAGTTCTGTATTCTGGACCAGCTAGCATCCAGGGCAGGATGTTAACAAGATGGTGCCAGTGGCACCTGAAAAAAGAGGGACACCATCACTTGCAGCTTGTATAGATGTATGGGGCCTGACTTTAGTGGAAGACTCGGATCATTCAGGCTCAGTGCTTGACCAGGGTTCCAAGAAGGTTTTTTGTGTCCACACTTGGGTTCTTAATGCTCAGATCACCCTGGTAGCAGTACCTGACATAGCATCTCCTGCAAACAGGAGCTCTTGTCATATGTTTTGGACCAGCAGGCCTCTCTCCCCATTTCCTTTTCTGCTCATTAACTAAATGTAAGGCAATCTTAATCTGGATTCCTCTTTCATTACCCTGCCTGGAACATGACCAGGCTTTGGGCTTCCATAAGTGTGATGAGCAAGGAGTTTCAAGGTCCTTGCAGCTCGCACCTGGAGGATAAGTGAAGCATCTTCAAGGAAGATAAGGAGGTTCAACAATAAGGGGATAATTGATTAGAGTACATCCCAACATAATAAAATAGACTATACCTGCAAGGGTGTCTTTGTGATAACTGCTTATTGGTTTTTTTTATAAAATCATTAAAATCTAACTGGTTACTATAGTATAGCAAAAGTGTAAAAGATGCAGCTATTCTATTACACTTTAGACATGTGAGCCCCTATGCACTTCCTTTCTGCCAACTGGTTTAATCTGCTGGCTAACAGTGATTTAAAGGTTCTTTAGTTATACTCAACTCAATGTCATTATTTTTTTTTTTTAAAGCTTTATAAGTACTGCATCCAGCTAACCAGGGACAAAGCTAAATAATGTGGGACTGGGACCTGAACAGTCCAGTCACTCGCAAGTCTGTTTGTAGAGAGACCTAGGGCATCTGTCTTGATGTCTTGCTGAATGGCAGCCCTTTTTAAGGTACCATTCAAGTCCTTGGAATCTTAATAATGGTAGTTACAGGAGTTGGAGAATTTACCTTGAACTTCTGTTAACTGAAGATGCTAGGTAGCCAGACCTGGAGGGTTTGTTGCACTTTCTAAAGGGCTTAGTAGCTGTAAAAAAATAAATATTTATGACTCGACTGACTTAACCCAGTGGAATATTGTTAATCACAAATTGGATTGAGTTAACTTCTGTCTCTCTCTTTCAAGTCACTGTCGGAAACAGCGGAGGAGGAGGAAGGAGGAAGAAATGGAGACGCTAGGCAAAAATTTGTCTGCTAAAAACGAGGATGTTCTAGAGACAGACATTGCATAAAGGCAAGTTGTACCTTGGAGCAGAGCCGCTCTAGATATGCTAGGTCCTGCTGGCAAACAGGTCTGTTTTCCTTGTCCTTTTTCCTGCCTGCTTCATAACATCACTTTCCTGCAAGGCTGCAAGATAGTTATAGGAAAAATATTATTCTCTCCAAGGGTCAAGGAAGCTGATAGGTGTCTGGTCCAGCACACTTGCTTAAACAGAAGCAGGGCTTGCCCCCGGCTTATAACAGAAGTTTCTTAGCTATGTTTGCTGTGTCTAATGCGGGTAGGAGGGCGAAGCACCCTTTATGGGCAAAGGAAGGGGAGCAGTGAGCCAGGCTCTGTGGAAGTCCAGGGCCAGCCATGCTGAAGTTGTCTATCTATGCAAAGAAGAGTTAGGTGGCCAATGGGGGTTTGTATACAGCTGAATTTCACTGAAAACTGTAGTTGGAGTTCTTGCTGGCTACCGGTCACCCCACTGGAATTGCATCGCATATAGGACAGTTAAATACTTATTGTTGTGGTTTGCTGCTGTTGCCCCAGAGTTTTTCCATGTTATATAAGCCTTCAGTCCCTGTTCTAAATATCTTGTGCACAGTTGATGTTAACTAGAGCTAGCACCATTGTTACCTATAGAGGTGCTGCTCAAGATGGAGGGAGGTAGCATGGGTACTCCGCTGGCTCCTCTGGTTTTGCCAGTCAGCCCCACTCCCTGGCTGTGCAAGCCCAAACTGCCTTGGTCCTGGGGGAGGTTTGCAAATGCCTTCTCCTGAAACCTATCAGTATTTGGAATCCAGGTGGTATTTTCTGCTTGGGTATCCCACCTTCCTCGCTGGGGTCATATGGCCTGAAGTAGGTTGACAACCTTGCTTCAGTTTTTGCCAGGTTAGAAATCATGTCATAGGAATGGGCAATTAAATGTCTGTCTCTCCCTCTCTCTTAACATCCACAGGTTATTGAAGGCACCTGCGGGCAGGTTCCAAACTGCAAAATGTCTTGCTCCGCTGGAAAGGGCAGAAGGGCTGAAGCCTGAACAATGAATGCGGATAAATGAAAACAAGCTTATTCACGGTGTGTGTGTTTGTAGCTAGGTCTCCTGAAAGAAAGGGCCAAACCTTTTCAGGGAGAGCTTGTTCCTAAAACGACACAGGGGTTTAAGAGCATGAAGGTCATTTGAAAGTCTTCTCTAAAATTCCTTACTTGCTTTAAGCGTACCTCTTACTGTAGTAAGCAAGGCTTCTGGTAAAACGATAGGAATTCTACTGAATCCCTGCATCACCTGTATGGAGAGCTGTGGTGAAAAGGGTTACTTGACATATTGCAAAAGCAATCAAAGACAGTGCCTTAAGACGATATAACTGCCCAGATCAGTCCTAACACTGTCTGACCTTAACCAATTTTATAAAGTATTTGTCCGGATAACTCGTGTATTTAAAAAAAAAAAAAAAAAAAAAAAAAAAAATCTATTGTATTTTTCCAGTTGTAAGTGCACTTTGCTTATAAACTGACCCTGCACTTTCTGGTTCAGTTTTAGGAGAAACAGCTTTATTTCTAGTTATGACTTATGCCAGGGAAACGTCCTTAACCTGCTTTTGCCCTTACTAAATCCAACAGGAGAATTAAATAACCAAGGAAAAGACCCAATGGGTTAAATTCACTAAATGTACTAAAATAAACTGCACTGAAAAAAATCCTGTCTTGGTGTATTTTATTGTATGCAATTACTTCAAGGACAAGAGTCAAGACTGTAGGGGAGCAAGCTGTAGATTGAGCCTGCATACAAGTCAAGTATAAGAGAGATTGTTTCTTTGGAGGGCAAGAAGTCTGCTTATAATGAGAACAGTATGTAGGTTTTATTTTATGTCAGGTGTTTAAAATAGAAGTTACTGTTTGATCAGTCATGCAGTACTTTTTCCACAGGGCCTCTGCCTCATTCAAACCAGCAGGATGAGGAAAGTGGGCTGTTGTCTGTGGGATGCCTGCTTCTCTTCCTGCAGAAGTTGAAATGCATGTAGTGAATGAGGCAAGGGACTAGAGGAATAGAAGGATTAGTCTTGTGGTTAAAACATGTTAAAATTGTGGCCTGGTCAGTTCAGTTCAATCCTACTCATGCTGGTATCGCAGAATCCCTTGGTAATGCTGGGCATAAGTCACTTATGCCAAAATGTTCGCACTTCCATGTGGGTAATACTTTGTTTTCTGTCTTCCGTACTGGATTTGTGGAAGTGCTGTGAGCTCAAAAATGCAAATGAGGTTGATTAAGAACTGTGTTCTGAATGTAAAAAGTGCTGTGTAAGGTGAAGTTCTCAGAAAATTAATCCCTAGGCAGTCTCCAGTTTGGTACCTCAAATTGGAAGATATTGCAGAATCTTGGCCTTAATTTCAATCTCTTTGCTTAAACTTCTTGGGTATTTAAAAAAAAAAAAAAAAAAAAAAAAAAAAGCCCTGCTGCTGAGATTGGTTAAAAAAGAGTCAGATGCTTCCAAAAACAGGATTAGAATGAATGAATATATATATATATATATATATATATATATTTTTTTTTTTTTTTTTAATTTTTGTTTTACTGACAAGTTAAGTATCTCCAGTTTCCCAAAAAACAATCTGTCCTGGGGCAGACCCCAGTAGGAAAGGCTTCAGCCCAGAAAGACACTCAGAAATATATTTCTAAGGCACTGAAAACGGGATTTTATAGTGAGAGATGTTGGGCAGCCTTAGCTATAAACACAATGTCTGTGACATGAAACAAAACACTTGAACTTTTGATGCATCTGCAGTTCCCCATGTATTAAGTAATGCGCAGTGATACTGTGTAGCTAGATTGTGCACCAATTAAAGACTTGTTCATAGTAAGAGTCTTTTCTATTGGACTGTCCTGTTGCAGCACTGTAAGCTCTAAGGCAAAGAAAATTTTTTTGTTTTCAAAGTAAGTGGTGTGATCACTTTGTAGTGTCCTGTGTCAGACTTTCAGCCGATACCGGCTGTTTTGAGATTTAAAAAAAAAAATCAAAAAAATCCCATGGTTTATGTACCTACAACATGTCCCCAAATAAAACATGCATTATTTTTTTGAAGGCAGAATGTAGAAAGAGAGACTTTTGTTTTTTGTTTTTTTTTTTTTCCCCCAGAGTCATGGCTGGCTGTGGAAGAATAAATTCTCTTGTGAATGTAGAGTGCCCAGGAAGTGAGGCACCACAAAGTTTCTGGTGTCAGCTGCTTCATCCAGACATATCTCCTAGTATGCCACATTTCCTGGACACTGTTTCCATGAGGACTTACTCTGTCATGCAAGGTTAGGCCCCAGACTGTTTCAAGGGCAGCAGCAAGTTCTTTACTGTACATGGTTCTTGTATGTAAGTGCCTGTAAATAAAGTGGTGTTCCTACATTACCAGCCTTATTGAGATATTACCAGCAACTCACTTGCTGATTCAGACATAAGTTACAGGGCTCAGCCAAAGCTATGGCTGTGCACCTGCATGGGAAGAACAGTGCCTCCAGACTTGTTTCTTTGCCAGCAGAGAAGACACCTTCCTTCCTTAAAACATGCATCCCAATTTTGTGGGGGAGGGTGATTTTTTTGGGGGGCAGAGGAGGTGTGTGTTCATATGTGCAAAAATATAAGTGATGCTTCTCAGATGCCTGATGGGGTGGTATGACAGCTTTTTGCTGTAGTGATCAGCCTCTCCATGTCTACCCAGGACACCTAGCAACTGCTTTCCACCCCAACACAATTCCCATGGAATTAGTGGGGGTGGAATGTGTATCATTGCTCTTAAAAGACATTCTCTAAAGTTGCTTTGGCCATGTAGTCGTCTTCTGAACTGAATAGGGCTTAGTCTTATCTGTGTGTTATGGTGACTTTCAGAGAAATCATGCTAGGACATATGTGCACTGAAGAGTTACTTCTTAAAGAATGGCTCTGATGGCCTTAATTTCCATTAAGATCCCTGTCAACATAGCCAAGGACTATGATGATATTATGATAGTACCTGTACCACAAACAGAAACTTTAGTCTCTTGGGTCATGCTTTGACAGGTGCCCCAAGGAACACTGCTGTACTAGCATAAAAGTTTGACCCCAGCTAGGACATGGGGGAAGCAACAACTTTCCTTCCTCCCCCCTAACTCCCAGAAGGTAAAGGCACATATGATGGGAGCCTTGTGGGTCCTTCTGCCATTTTAAAAGCTTCCTTCTAATATTTCAAATCCTGCTGTGGAGTTTAGCATACAGTGAATGAAGGCTACCACAAGCCAAGGAGCTATACTGTAGGCCCCAGTGGACAGGGTCCAGGTTTAACATGGAACAGGTGTCAGAGCAGTACAAGGATAACTTCTTCAATGAAAGGAGCTTTGTCTAATGAACTGAATGCAGGGCTGAGAACCAGGGTCTCCTGAGCCATTTCTGGTTCTGCCACTGACCTGTTGGATGACCTTGGGCAAGTTGCTTCACCTCTCTCTGTCTTGGTGTCCCCATCCGTAAAATAAGGTTTAAAATGCTTGTGAAGTGCACTGATAGCTGTGGATAAAATGCTACAATAATTGTCAAAACTAAGGAAGAAATTTTTCCGTGCCCTGGCCATTGTCTAATGTTTCTTTAGTGTCTATATACCTATTACTACAGGTTTTCAGCCTGATTCAGCAGTGCAACATTCACTTAGTTTCCTGGCTGAAGAAGAGCTTTTGAGCTTCCATCCTTTTGATCCAGGTTCAGAAGATGACCTCTGTGCTTGTAGTGTGGTTGTTGGGAATCTGAATGAGCTCAAATTTAGATAGGCATTAAATTTCAGCAGCCAAGGCTCATTTGGATAGTGATCCAACTAGTGAAGCATGTGATATTAGCATTTGTTTGCATTCTGTGAGCCAGAAATGCATGTGTGCAGGTAGAAAATATGTGTTTAGATATGCCTCAAGGATCAATAGAATGGGTCAGATACTTAAAATACAATGGTAAGCAAGAGTATTGGAATTGTTTACAGTGGAGGAGACTTTGTACTCATTACTTGGAAAGTCCCTGCGGAAGCCTGTTCTAAGTAAGCTCTCTCTGCTCAATAGTACTTCATCCAATATATGATAGTTTTTTTATGTTGCTACCTGATCTGTTGTTACTAAATGTTTTGTGTTCTGTCTGAATACTTGAGGCTGATGTTTAGATCATAAAAGCGCATTGCTTCTTTCTGGAAGTCTCATTCATGTTTTCAAGCCTTACAGAGGAGGAAAATAGCATTCAGTGCTGCAAAGTGAACACAGCTGCAAATAAAACTTCAGATCAGTACAGAAAGTGTTAATCGCTTAGGGTGTGTGTAGGGAGGGGTATTGTTTAGGGCCTATTCCTGTACAAAAATGTCTTGTAATGGTTAGCACACTTTTACTTCCTTGTCAGTATTAAGCTGCAATGGAAGGAGCAGAGTTAATCTGTGTGGCTGTCTTAGCATCTTTATATAAAGAAAATAAAGCTGCAAGTACAGTATTATAAATTATTTTAACAGGTAAATGTAACTGAAGTCTGCTGAGCATTTTGGATTTGCTTGTCTCTGAAGTCTGCTTGAAATGTAACTCCATGTGGTAACTGTAGTATTATTGACATGTAAGTAATAGTCTATGCCAAGTTAAAGAGTTTTGCAGTAACCTATTATGCAAGAGTATTACTAATTGCTCCCAGTTCTTAAATATTTTTATTATTATTATCATTCAGCTTTGTTTTTTAATAGCTACATTAGATTGCAACAGAGATGCTCAAAAGTCCTTGGGAAAATAATTGAGGCTGTCTCTACACAGTAAAATTACCTGGCTACGGAGCAGTGTCCTCCACCATGCTATGATGCTCCTAAAGTGGTCCACCTGCATCTGTGGTGGTGCAGGTGGCCCGCTTGACACTGTCACTCAGCAGGGCTGACTAACTTTTCAGAAGTGCTAGGTGAATGTGTCCATACTGTTCCCAGAGTATGAAGCTTCTCATCTGGAGCCTGAGGGCATGGCTGCAGAGTATAGTCAACTCTGGAGACCTGGCTAAAGGATCTGTAACTGTACACTGTGATGTTTAAGTGTATGCCTTTTTTTTTTTTAAGGGGAGAACTATTCTAGGACTCTTTAAATAAACCTGCCTGTATCACAATCATGTAACACCTAATTAATATTGTTTGCATATGGAGATGTGACTGTCTGATCAGTTAGTGACCTAACAGCATTTCTAAAACAGTCTTGCCTTGTGGGTTCCAGTCAGTACCTTGGAAGGGTCCAGAGCCCTGAAAATCCAGAAAGCTGTTGCTTTTGGGGCCAAATATGTGAGCTCAAGAAATCTGTTCTGGAATCTAATTTCTAAAGCAGCTTTTGGCTTTCTGTTAAATGCAAAAATCTGATCTGATTACTTTTTGTACAAATAAAATGTTCTAGAAGAGCTGCTGCCTCATTGCAAGCTCAAGTTTGTGGGTGTTTTTAGAGTCCCCTAGTATCTTTATTAAGCAAGGCTTCTCTTCCTTTGTGTCCAACTGTTTGTTCTGGTGGAGGAACCAGTGTCATCATAATATCTATTACATAATAATACTTGAGCAGGTCAGTCCAAAGAATAATCGGGAGTAAAGCCACTGGGAGGTGCAGATTTAAGTACTCCATTCCCCTAAATTTTTCTTGTTAGATAATTTTTCCTTGTTGGAAAAGAGCTTAATAACGTTTTGCTGACCTTCAGCAGACTGG